GAGAGAGAGAGAGAGAGAGAGAGAGAGAGAGAGAGAGAGAGAGGTGGGGCCAGGCTCCCCTTCCCCTCTCCCTCTCCCTCCGCAATTTCTGCGTGCAGGATTTTATGAGCGTCTGTCCCCCAGGCCACAGCCAATCAGCGCGCGTGGCCGGGCCCCTGCGTCTCTTGCGTCAATACAGACCGGCACGGCGAATGCAGGCGCCGTGGGAGCTGGGAGCGATTTAAAACGCTTTGGATTCCCCAGGCCTGTGTGGGGAGAGCGAGCTGGGTGCTCCCTAGATCCCCCACCCCTGGCTCCCCATGAGCCGACTCTTGGCTCCATGGAGCACGGCAATTATGCCACCTTGGACGGGGCCAAGGATATCGAAGGTTTGCTGGGAGCCGGAGGGGGTCGGAATCTAGTCGCCCACTCCCCACTGGCCAGCCACCCTGCGGCGCCTACGCTGATGCCCGCTGTCAACTATGCTCCCCTGGATCTGCCAGGCTCTGCGGAGCCACCAAAGCAGTGTCACCCGTGTTCTGGGGTGCCCCAGGGGGCGTCCTCAGCTCCTGTGCCTTACGGCTACTTTGGAGGCGGGTACTACTCTTGCCGAGTGTCCCGGAGCTCGCTAAAACCCTGCGCCCAGACGGCCACCCTGGCCGCCTACCCTGCGGAGACTCCTGCCGCTGGGGAGGAGTACCCCAGCCGCCCCACCGAGTTTGCTTTCTATCCTGGCTACCCGGGACCTTACCAGCCTATGGCCAGTTACCTGGATGTGTCTGTGGTGCAGACCCTGGGAACCCCTGGGGAGCCTCGCCACGACTCCCTGCTTCCCGTGGACAGTTACCAGCCTTGGGCCCTGGCCGGTGGCTGGAACAGCCAGATGTGTTGCCAAGGTGAACAGAACCCACCTGGTCACTTCTGGAAAGCTGCATTTGCAGGTAACCTCTACTACCCTGGGTTCCCCTTGGCTCTGAGCATGGGCTACGATGGCACTTGCCTGGGAGGAGGAAGAGGAGGGAGACTTTAGGCTGGTGAGGAGGAGCTTGGTGCTTCTCCGTTGCCTATTAGGACCCTGAAGGAGGGTCCAGACAGCTGGAGGACCTGGACAGAGGCCCCAGAAGATCAGTATGAGGGGTCTAAGCAGCCAGCTAGCTGAAGCTTAAGGGTAGCCAGCCTTCCCCACATCCTGAAGAGAATCTGGGATTAGCCTTTCAATATGTCGGAGAACCTTGGCTCTCTGCTGTTGATTGGGAACAGGGTGGCCCTATCCAGGGCAATCCCAGTCTAATTCTACGCAAAGGCCAAATGACATAATCTCACAACCACTGTTGTGAGGGTGGCAGTGAGGGATGGGAACTGAGGTATTCGGTGTTCCTTAGAGAATGCAACCCCTCAGATTTCTTAGATAAGGCTTAAATTTCAAAAGGAAAATTTAGATTTTGTTTGACCAAGGTGTGTATTGAGGCGTGTGTGTGTGTGTGTGTGTGTGTTGGGAGTGGGGACAAAAATGTATTTCCTCTTGTACATAATTTGCCTATGGAATCTGAAGGAGTGACTGGGTTTGAAAATACCTGTGAGAGTGGACTATGGGATTGTGGGCAAAAGGCTGGTAGGTAGTGTGCAGTGGGTGTGTTTTTGGATTCCTGGTGTGAGGGCAGTGATGGGCGAGGGTGGCCTGCCAGACCAGAGGCTGAGTGAGTGCTGATCAGAGAATAAGGCTGAAGCCAGGGTGCCCCTGTGTGCTTTGAGGGAGCAGGAGCACACGTGGGCCCACACATAGGATGATCTATCTGGCTGCGCCTGCAGGATGACGTAGCCCCTAGGCTTGCGGGGGGCCAGGGTCTGCGCACGTTTTTGCGCTAGATGGGATCTGAGCGTGCCTTTTCCTCCTTCCTTTTCCCGCCACGCAGAGTCCAGCGCGCAGCACCCTCCGGAAGGCTGTGCCTTCCGCCGTGGCCGCAAAAAACGTATTCCCTATAGCAAGGGGCAGTTGCGGGAGCTTGAGCGGGAGTATGCGGCTAACAAGTTCATCACCAAGGACAAGAGACGCAAGATCTCGGCAGCCACCAGCCTCTCAGAGCGCCAGATTACTATCTGGTTTCAGAACCGCCGGGTCAAGGAGAAGAAGGTTCTAGCCAAGGTCAAGACCAGCGCTACACTGTGAGCGCTGGAGGGGGTGGGCAGGGGAAGAGGGGTTGTTCTGGTGAAAATTGGAAGCCTGCCAGGGCCAGGACCGGCCAAGGACTCTGCTGAGGGGCCCCAAAGGATGACACCCTTGGTAGCCTACCGACTCTTGGAGTGTACATTAGGGGCAGCCTGGGCACCCTGCATGTGCCAGGAGAGTGAGGCCCAGAGTTACAATCCACTCCACCAGGGTTCCAAAGAACCTGTGTCAGTCATAATCATCCATCCTAACAGTGTGATAATCACATAACCAGTACTAGTTGTCATAATTAGTCTCATATTTTCTATCTAGAGCTCTGTAGAGAACTTTAGAAACCGCTTTTGTGAATTGAGCTGATTGTGAATAAACTTGGGAGAAGATCTTTTTGTAAGATAGCTTCCTCTCAGCCCTCTTCCATGTACATTGTTCCTCTCCCAGTCAAAAAAATTTTTTTTGTTTTTCAGTGACTGGGGGGAAAGAAAACTAGGGAGAAGAGCAAAGGCAGATTGGTCCTTCTAGGGAGGCGATTCCCATTTAGCATTTTTCTAAGATGACAGCTGGGTAGGACAGATCCTGTTAAAGGATGCCTCTCCCTCCTCCCTTCTCACCCCTTTTCCTTGCCAACCTCCTAGGTTTTGTATCCCCTGGGAAGCCCCCATCTCTAACTCCTACAGTTTGGACAAAATGAGACCAGTGACTGTTCTAGTCTGTCCTTTTGCTAGAGAAATGGAGTTTGAGAAAGTACCTAGGTAACAGTGTTCCTCAACCCTCCCCACCCCAAGTCCTCCCTTTGCATCCAATTTTTGGGGTTTTGACTCAAACAGGTCAGGGTTTGTTGGGCATTTAAGAGCCACTTGAATTATGTGTGGTGTATTATTGGTCAGGTGTCCTTGCAGGCACAAACAGTGGTTATAGGAGAGGGCAGTAACTTACCTTATCTTTAGGTCTGTCCCAAACATACTAGAGTATCCAAGGAAAGGAAACCAGAAAATTATGCCTTCACCACCCTTTCCCCCACCCCCCGTCACCTTTTTTGACACCCAAGGAACTTTTCCACCCAGGGATCCAAGAATCCACAGACTCTTTTGAATGCAAAAGAACAGCCTTTGGAAAAAAAGTCCAAAGACCCAGGCTCAGGGTGGAGAGATCCTGGGCAGCTAATGCCAAAATGGCCTTCTTGGACTTCCTTCCTTTTTCAGTTTTCACTGGTTGGGTCCGCACCTTGGGCTGAATGGCATCAACTCTATTCTCTTGGTCCACACAGACCAAGACATAATACAAATTCTGGGTACCCAGGGAAGAGTGTCTATTTATGGCACCCAGAGAAAGACCAAGAGGACTCCTTCCCTGATGTACCTGGGCCCACTGTGGGGTAGAACTTGCAGCCTGGCCCCGCAGCAGAGCCAATGCTGTCTTTCTGAACCTTGGAGTGATCAAGCACCAGACCTGAGTCCCCAGATCCTGAGATCCAGCTGTTTCTAGAGCAGCAGGTGGTGAGTACCTGCTGGTGGGCAGCAGCCAGGCCAGCAGCTCCATTGGCTTTCCCTTTCCAAAATGGCTTACTGTTCAAGAAACTAAGGGTAGGCTGCTGTAATCAAGCGGCTCAGACTATTCTGTTTACCAAAAATGAGCCAGGAGTTGGGTGTGGTGGCACACACTGCTGTAAACCAATCTGGAAGGCTGAGACAGGAGGCTTGCAGCAAGTTTGAGTTGAGGCCAGCCTGGAGTGCATAGTGAGTTCCAGGCCTGGGTTACAGATGAAACCCTGGAAACAAGGAAGGAATGGAAGGAGGGAGGAAAGGAAGAAGGAAAGAAAAGCAGTGAGCCAGGACTGAGGGAAAGGTGATCAGAGAGGGAACACCACCACCTCCCCTTCCTGGGTGACAGAGTGTGTGTGCTTAGGGGGGTAGGTACAGGTCCATTCAGTGACTGAAAATTTCTTTCCAGCCTCTATGGTCTAGGTCTAACCTCCCGGGTTATGTGCCCTGCTCAGGGGATCACTCTGCTCTCTGAGTTTTCCTTCTCCAGAAGCCATGCTTGGGTGGCTGTTCCTGTCACAGGTTCTTACTCCACTTTCGCTATCACCCCAGACCTGACCAACTGCTAACTACGGCCTCCCTGGCTGACTTAAGAAGTGGCTAAACCTTTAGCGTAGATAGGTAAATGGGAAGTGAGTGGAAGCTTTGAGGCACAGGGTCTCCACGGAAGGAAAAAGCCACAAGATGGACTGCCACCTCAACTCACAATTGGTCCAGTCAGAGGCCTGGGGGGGCGTTCTAACTAACTTCCCCATTCTGCTATAAGGGGCTTACATTTTCGGGGCTCCTCCAATTTCGCTCGCATGAATTTCAGAGCAGACAAAAGATTTGGGATCTTAAGAGTTTTATTTCGCCACCAACGTTTGGACATTCAGAAGACAAGCGCTCCCCCTTCCGGTAGAAGTTTGCTATTTCAGAGGAAGCCTCCGGACGGCCTAGGCATGCATCCCCGCCACCCTGCAACCCAGCAGACTCCGACCTCCCGGGTTGGAGGGTTCCGGCTGCTTGGAAGAGCTCCAGGACTCGAAGGCACCCGGAATTCCAGCAGGGTACAGGCAGATGTACCGGTCCAGCCTCTGAAAAGTTCCGGAAGAGGGCAGGGGGTGCTGCGCGAGCGAAGAACCAGGTAGTCAGGACTGGAGAACAAGGCCGCCTCGGCCTTCGGGCCGTTTCTTCGTTCCACCGGAGTAATACATTGATCTCCTGCAGCATAACCTCGTGGTGGGTTCCCTGGCTTTTTTCTTATTTGTATGCAACCTGTGCAAAAAAATGAATTTCTTTTGTATGACACTTATGGTATCCTTTCCCAAAATTTTACTCTTGAACTGAATTATACCCAGTTATCACCGACATCAATACCACTCCCTTATTTATGTGTAAAATACAACATCCAGGACTCCACACTGCCTGGCCTGCTGCCTTTCCTTTTCAGAAAGGACCACTGTAAACTACAGGAGAGTTTGTTTTGTTTTGTTTTCTTAAATCGCTGAGGCAAATGGGTGAACACAACTTCTGATAACACTGTCCAAGGACAGGCAATGGCCGGGGCACACTCATCTATTCCTGAAAACAAGCGAAGAACCTTTTCACCAACAAGGCGTGATTTTACTCTGAGCCTCCTTACCCTCTCTCTCTCAGACCCACGCCAGTTCCTCCCGCTACGAATCGCGTTACAACACGACGCCGTCTCCAGTACCAACATGACTTCTAACTCCAGCAGGTGGATTTTGCTAGGTCCCCAGAGGTCGAGTAAGGGAGGTAGTAGCCAAGTGTGTAGACGGGATTCCCCCAAGCTCTTTTGAATCGAATTCCTAACTACTGTAAAGCGGTGGGCAACCCCTGGGCTGCCAAGTTCCGGCCTTTTTATTCCGGCTGGCAAGCACTTCCGGAGGGAAGCGGAATGCCGCGAGGCCCGAGGAGGAATTTTCACCTCGCCTCCGGTTCCATTCCTACTGGGGCGGGGGCGGGGGTTGTTCAAGGGCTGTCCTAGTACCAAGCCCCCTACCCCCACCCCCATCATCTCGGAAGGGCTGCCGGCTCCTCCTCCCCCAAAGCAGAGTCAAGTCCCCACTCTGCTCCCAGTTTCCAGCTCCCCTCCTCCTCTTCATTAGTTTTATTCAAGGTCTTAAGTGCTGCACTTTAATTAGGTTTCCTTCGAAGAAAACTGTGCCCCACCCCCACTGGTTCTGTCTACTAGAAACCCCATAGCTACAATCTCGAATTAAATAAATGAACTCGTTACCGTAAACGTGCCAGAAAGCGCGGAGGCGACTGCTGTGGAAGCGACGAAAGGAGGTTTCAGTTCTTTTTGAAAGAATTTTCTAGCATATTCTCACCCACCTGAACAGTCGCTCTCTGGACAAGAGAGGCGAAAGCCTTCGCCCTCTGCCTCCTGCCCAAGCGTGGGACACCCTTCCCCTCTCCCCCGGGGATCTGGCCTGGAGAGAGATTTAAAGCATCCAATGGGAAAAGGTGCCAGCCTTCCTTTCTCCGTTACTAGTTATGGGGGGCGGGGGAAGGGAGGACCGTGGAGTGGTCGGAGGAGACGGGAAAGAATACCATCATTATCATCCCCTAACCTCCCCTAAATTGCCTCTGAAATAGGAGGGGCAGCAAAAGAATGCAGCAACCCCCAGAATTATGGGGAGGGGAAGGCAGCGACTGCTGGCGCCCTGTCTGTGGGGAGGGTCAGAGAATTTACCATTGAACTTGAAGATCTAGGCTGGTGATCTCCACTCCCCTCCGCCCCCACTCTACGAAATGTTTTATGGGGAGAGGGAGGAAGACAAGGGGAAGAGGGGATTTCTGTGGCCTGGGGGAGGGGTGCCGAGTTACCAGGAAAACCGCTGGGAGACGCCACTGAGAATGGCCGGCGCTGAGGAAATAATTCAGCCTTCTCTTTGGATTTGGAGCTCCGAGATGGGGCGCCACCGACCGCGCGCGGTTCATGGCCAGGAGCGAGACACCGAGATTTGTGCTGGAGTACTTATAGCCCATGGTGTGCAAAGGGCACTGGGAAACTGAAACTTTTGGGTAGCTGCTGGCAGGGTTCAGGGCCTAGAGGCAAACCAGTCTCGCTTTGCGACCCGCAGTGTTGTTTGCCCATTTTTACTGCTTCCAAGAGTGTCTCTCTACTAAGGTAAACTAGCTGATCCACAGGCCACGTATGTTTCTGGTCTTTTAACTGGGACCTTCCTTGGAGGCTCTGAAGGAGTGTCACTCAAGATTTTGGGGGCATGGGGAGGCCTCTGCAATCTGGGGAAGGACCCCTGGCAGCTTTCCCAGAGGTCACCTGACAGGGGCATGCATCCCCTCGGGGCTTTTGAAGAGAGGGACAGTCACTTGTGCAGAAAGCGATACTGAAAATTCTTCCAAAGCATTCAGAACATTCTGGTTTTGACTGAAGAAAGGCTTACAGGTGAGAGCCTGTGCCCCCAGGCAGTCCCTGCCCCCAGTTGTCCTTTTATTTCTGACTGGATGAAATCTTGGCATGGAAAAAAAATCAATAGTGTTATGATTTTCATTTAACATTATAACATTGTATATACCTATGTTAAAAGCTGGACAAAGTATCTAAGATGATTTACTGAGTCCTAAGGGAAATACTTTGGTGCTAAAAACCAATAAGCAAGAGCAAAGCATTTATACTCTGGGCCCCTGCCATCCCTCCCCTCCTCAGTGCCCCCACAGAAGCTACTGTGGCTTGCTGAATACTACCATCTCAGGAACAACTGGAAGGATCCCATCTCTGGCAGTGGCATTCTCAAGGGCTGAGTCCTTTCCACACAGGAGCAACCTTGAGTGGCAGTTCATATCCTCAGACACCCTAGCTATTAACTTGGATTTGAGTGGGCT